AAAAGAAAGGAAAAAAATTTAAATGTGAAATGAAACCTAAAATATAATTTTAGTTATACTCAAATAAAACAGGAAAATGAAAAGAGAACTTGAAAAATGTAAATTTCTTTTAAAGTCTAATAATATAAAGCATGAAAGAAAGGCTGGTTATTGCAACAGTTTTTAAAAATTGCAAGAACCTTTTAAGTTTTAAAGAAAGAGAAGAGAAACAGTGTATTTTAGTTTGTTAATACTTAGAAGAAAAAAAGGTTATATAGCTAAAGTATTTGGGGGATTCTAGTTTTTTTAAAAATAAATGGGAGGTTTGGTTACACATGGTGGATTTAAATCCATTTATTATAACAAATTAAGTGTAGTTTATTTTTTAAATATTAAATGGGAGGTTTGGTTACACATGGTGGATTTAAATCCATTTATTATAGCAAATTAAGTGTAGTTTATTTTTTTAATATTATATAAGTATTATAAGGTATATTTATATTTATAAGTATAATTGTAAAAGTTTATATTTAATTTATAAAAATATATATAGCAATAAATCTAAAATAATACATAATATTATTCGATATACGAGATATATATTGTTGTAGTAGCAAAATTAGTATGCCTATTGTTATGATATTGACAACCTTGGTGGGGAGGCTAAAAAATTTCTTTTATTTGATTATCAAAAAATTAAAAAAGAGGAGAGGGGAAGAATTCCATTTACTTTATTTTTTTATTTTAATTTATATATTCAAATAAGGAGAAGGGGGAGAAATGGAATGATACAATTTTCCCCTCATTCCTTTCCTTTCCCTCCATTTTCTTCCATTCAAATATACGGTTGAAGTTTTTTTTTTTTTTTTTCCAATTTTATTTCCTATTATTAATTACTCTTAACTCTTAAAAAATGTGTTTTTTAAGATTGTATTTAATACACTTTTTTCACCATTAAGTTGTATGAAAAAAAATAAAGTTCAATTTTAATTTTAATAATTAATTAGTTAAATCAATAGACATGATATTCATGTTAAAATTAATATTAATTCTTAAATTTTTTTATATAACTTAATGATTAAGAAATATGTTAATTACATCTTAACTTGGACTCTAAAAATATAAGTTAAAAAATTCTTTAAAAAAGACATCCTAATTTCTCAACTATCCTAAGTAAATATGAAATTTTATTTAATATTAAGTATTTATTAAGAAATTTTGTAATTTTCTCTATAATTGTGTCAAGCAAAAATATGGCAAGTAAAAATATTAGGAGATACGTAGGACAATTTTGGATAAACACTCAGATTAGTTTACTTTAGTGGTAGAGTACACAGGAATTCTTCCCTGGTTAACCCTTATACCAAAAGCAAATGCATAGAATTTTATCAATGAGCTAAAAAACAATAGTAAAAGACAACATTCTTGAGCATATATTGTGGACCTGGAAGGAGGCTATCGACATGCACTGTTGATGGGAACTGGGGGGATCCAAGAGCGGGCCACCAAAAATTCTCCTGGCTACCCTGTGGTTAGCAGCTTCATTATAGTGAGTTCCATCCCAGCTAATGTGTTTGGATGGATCACTACAGGAAGCTCTAAAAATTTTAGTCCCATTAACCAACGCTGTCTTTCCACATTCAACTGTATAGTCGCCCAAGTGCCCACAACAGTATACAAAAGGACCAACAAAACCTGCAATACTCAGGTATGGATGTTAGGTGTCACAAGAAATTTGAATCAGCTGAACAACTAGGAGAAGCCCTAATACTCAAATAAGTATGGATGTTAGACGTCACAAGAAATTTGTATCAGTTGAACAAATAGGAGAAGACCCGAACCAAGAACTTGTTATAAACTAATGGAATAGCAAAATGTATTTTTTGTTACGTTTGGCTAGGAAATGTATTAGAAAGATAGAATCATTGTCTTACGAAACTTAGTTGGCCCATGACAATATAAAACCTACCATATTTGTGTGCGTTGCTGATTAGAGAATATTTAGCTGAGCAGATATCAACATAAACACACCTCACTTCTGGAAAGTTGTATCCTAAGTTGGGAGATCTTGTCTTTGAGTTGCTTGTTGAATTCCTGAGCTACCTCAATTTAAGACTTGATGCAGCCGATATGGTCAGCATCCTCAGGTTTTGGAGGGGTACTTGTAACATAAGTAGGCAAACAACCAATTGGACCGGTATTATGTATCCAAAATGTTCTTGCACCTTCTTGATAGAGAGCCTGATACAATTCAAAAATAGAAATAGGTAGTAATGGAGAACTCACACCTAATCGATTAAGCATCTTAATCATATACTGATTCTTGACCTTTCCAAATTTTATAATTCCAAGTCCATATGCCAAAGGCAGAACTAGAAGTATGAGTAAGTAAATATCTGAAACGATGTCAAGAGTACCTCTATGGCCTGGGAAAACAGATTGATTAAGTTCGGGATGGATGCATTTACTTGCTTGGCTGTTGTCGTCCCAAAACATGTTGTAGATCATTCTGCATGGTATCAAAAGTGTAAAGGGCCTTGTGGAACTTCTCCGGTTGAGGAAGCCCTGCCGGTTATCTCTGAACTTTGACCTGAAACACTGGCAAGCACATCAGTAGCCATCAATCAAACGAAGGATTAACTCTTCAGAGAATGCACACAATTAATGTAGCATTGTTCTGTTACATCTAGCGGTCAACAAAATTTATACTTAGCCAATAACCTTCAGCATATAGCTTGTTAGTGTGGTCTTTAAGTTCTTCAAACTACAGAAGCTGAACATTGAGAGACAAGGGATTAAAATCTGCTGCATACATTCTGCCATAGACAGGTTGAATTGTAGAACCAGCTGAAGCAAAATTTGCTCCATGTCTGAAATTTGATTCTACTGCATCAAGATAAGTGCTCAAGAATGGCAATCCCAATTTCTCTGAGCAATCCCAATTTATCAACTGCACAGATTCATTAGCAAATAAATTTCTCAGATTCTTTTTGTTCTGGGAAAGCGGTAAAAATTCACTGATTCAATATCATCTAAAAAATAAAATCCAGGGAGAAGGGGTGATGGTACAAATGAAGAGAGTTCAAAGTAATTCCATGACACTGGATGACAGGAAAGAGAAAATAAATAGTAAAAAAAAAAAGTCAGCAACCTGAGCAAAGTCAAGTTTCCAGCCATCAATCATTGTTTGCAGATATATATAACTTCTTGTTAAGCTGCCATCAAGCTGTTTGATACCTAAATTCCAAAATTAGATGAGAAACTATGGTTTAGGAAGTCGCATCACAAGCTTACCTATAAAATCGATTATCAGACGCCCATCAGAATACCGGCCAGAAAGTTTTCTGAATAATGTCTCACCAACTGACCAGGTAATGCTGGGACAGTGCCAGTATCAGAGTTGGAACTCCAAAGTTGAAAATGGCCGGAAAATCACACCCGCTTGATAGACCAAGAAATCAAGCAACCAATAAAAAACCAATAGCCCTGGCCATGATGGTCTTTCTCTCAAGAATACTTGTAAACCATTTGCACTCCATCGTGACCTTGTTCTTAATCTCTCAGAGACCTATCATCAAACAGGTATGCTGCATACAATGTTAATAACTGTTTTTTCAAACAAGCAACACAACTAAAAAACTTTAAGCTAATTTGGGATTAATCCCTAATATCTAAATGAGAGTCGACATACCAATTCACAATATCACAATTACTGTTAATTAATTAGAAAATTGTGTTATTAAATAAATTTGTGTTGTGTCACTCACATCTACGACGCATTATTTAGAATGCTCATCTTGAAGATTTTGGTCTTATAGATGTCTAACTCTTAACAGGTTCTTTA